GTTAAAGGAAAACGAAACATTTCTGTGTATGTCATCATCTCTGATTATCACTTCACCCTATACCTCACGGTCTGGTAATTTAAAGAGACCAATATTAAATTACCGGCGCTCTTATTCTCCCAAGGGGTAGGTATGGTGCCTCAAAAAGGAACAAAATATCTTTCTAAGTTTTTCCTCTCGTGCGTAACCGAAGCAGAAACAAAATACTCCTTATTTTAGGGCTATTCGCCTTAACGAGGACGTGGCGTAAATTACAGTACAGTGCGTTAACTGTACCTATTAAGGGAGATCGCGTGGTTTAAAATATATAATTAAATTATGTATAGACTACGTGTACTATGTTTAAAAAAGCTTATTGTTAGATGGTGTCAAAAGATTAAAAAATGTATCTGAACAATTAAACGGCGTCAGGTGAAGGGTAGATTTTTTCAAAACGAGCCTATTATTTAAAATTTATTATTTAGTCGTAAAGTAAACGTATCGTAGATGGATGGATACAATCCACAAAAAGCTACTTTTGCGATGTCGATGTCCTCGAACTTTGGATCGTTATTGAGCGAAAATAGCTTAGGTCGAATTGTTTGTGACTTTATGACAGTATTTACCTATAGGATTATATGTAACCTATTATATGTTATATGTAACCTATTTATACCATAAATGTGGATTTTTTTTTCTCTAAACGACGTTAGCCGTAGGATTTTTGTGTCTAATGTTTCCACTGTTTAAGAGCCTGACCGTTACCGTTACTATTACAGCCTATTTAAAGTCCAGTGCTGAACTTGCTACACTCTTGACAAGCGCGTTGGCACCACAGTTTTATACGGCACACGGAATGATGGGATGATATGGGGTAGTCGATATTCTTACATCGCCACTACGCAGTATCGTTATATGATTAAGTAACAAAATCAAAAAGGTTCATATCCAGCTGTTGACTGAGACGAAGTAAAAATATTAAATTAATAAAATTTATCGTCAAAGCCGTATTGAAATGGAAATAAAAAATCTAAAATGTTACACAGAATGGCTGAACTATAAATAAACTCATTAAATCCAAGTGAAAGATGGTATGAAAGCACTGGAATCAGACGAGAAAGTTTAAATGAAGCAATAAACGATAACAACCATTACTTGTTGCGGTTTGTCTAGTTTTCAAACTTATTTAATGGTATTTCTAGTTTAATTTATTTTTGAGCTGGCAATGATTCTTAAATACAGAAAACAAAATATTATACTTTTCAAAAGCAAAACTGGTCTAACTGAAAAGAATAAAATAATTATCACATAAGAGTTTCGGAAGTATGTGCTAAGACATAGTGTAATGGAGTATTAAAATCCTCGAAATCAGATACTTTTATGTATGTAAGAACTTACCGTCAGGTGAAACTTAAATACAGGCTTATAAAAGTTAAAAGTTATATTTCATTCCTTTTTGTTTTTTTGAATTCGGATTTTTCTTTTATCTAATAGTTTATACTAAACCAAAGTAGCAAATTCAAATTTGTCTACGCAGTTTTCTTCTACACAAATATATTGTCGCATTCGACATAAAGTTTTTATTCAAGAAAATAAGCATTATCTGTCTACTTTTTGGCAGTCAGTACTTTGTGGTTCTTTTTGCTCTATATTGTGAATTGTATTTTCAATCAAAGGCTGTTGAAAGGCTTCAAAGGCTTCTCTTAAAACAAAACAAAAATTCTGTTAAATCAAACAAATTTTACCAATTTTATCGCGTAACGTTTCTTTTTTTTTAACATATCATATTTAACAAATGCCACCTTTAACTTTTAATTATTGATCTTTAGTAAAAAGTTAAAATGAAACGCGATAAAATCCGTAAAATTAGTTTTATTTATAGTTTTGTAGTATTCGCGTAATAAATATTAGAAAACATAAAAATTTTCACTATAATTTATAATCAATACTGAACAAAGAAAATGTATGCTTACCACTAGATGTATGATATTATATTACCAGCATCAAATATGAAGAAAAGTATATATTTGCTTTGTCAAATGTCGATGAACATATTTTTTAGCTTGAATATCTATGAAACCTATTAGACTCGATCCGAGTTCAATATTATTATTGCAACCTATCAAAAATTCACTGCTGAATATGGGCCTCTCCCATAGATTACCTTAAAGGGATATTATTCATAGATGCCCCGCTTAGCAGGCAGTTTGGTAACAGCGGTTTTTTATTATTTGAATTGTTATCAGGAATGATTTCTTATATTTACGCGAAGACTCATCATCATCATCATCATTACAGCCCTTCACAAGTCCACTGCTGAACATAGGCCTCCCCCAAAGAATGCCACAAAGCACGGTCCTGAGCCACCTGCATCCATCGACTTCCTGCATATCTTACCAGGTCGTCACTCCATCTAGTGGGGGGACGCCCTACACTTCGCCTGCCGCTACGAGGCTGCCACTCGAGAACCTTTCTTCCCCATCGGTTGTCGGTTCTTCGAGCTATATGGCTATATATATGAAGACTACACATTAAATAAAACTAATCTTTACGGTTTTTTTTGCGTTTTAAAATGAAAAATGTTTTATTAGCAGTAAAAAAAATAATACAATGGGTAATACCTGTTGGTTTCCTCACTAGGCAAGCCTGTATCGAGGAAACCTGAGACCATAGTTCATCAAGCGCTATTTTATACACCTCATCAGACAGATTGTATTACACAAAACAACAATAACAGAATTGCTTATTGCTTTAAATATTTGAACATAAAAAGAAAGAAAAGTATAAAGACAAAGGTAAGCTATATAAAACTGAAAAGTATTAACTATGTGCATTAAAAAAAAGTAAATAAAAAATTAGATCAATAACTAAATTTATCTAATAATTTTACAAATACCATCAATTAGCAAAAGCCAGTTTTTAACAATTCTTCTGTTTCCTCATATGATATTATATATATTTCAATAAAATTAATTTGGCAGATATGTTGTTTTTATTACTAATATTACAATGTTTTACGACCTTATTATAAATTTGTCTTTTGATAAAGTCGCCAAAACGTTGTGCAAATTTAGTATTGACAGATGGTATGGATAGTTTGTATACCCTGCGATTAGTCAGTAGTTTGTAATCATGGGAAGATAATACACCTTTATATACTCGTACTGCTAAGGACGTATTTAGTACAAAAAGTTGGCGTACAGTGAGTACTTCGGCATTTTTGTATGCGCTTACAGTATGGTATCTGTATGGTTTTCCTAACATTGCCTTTAAAACTGCCCGCTGTGCTGTCTCGATCTGTATTAAATATATTTTGGACGCACTACCCCAACATGTGATGCAGTAAGTTATCAGCGATTGAAAAAGAGCATAATATACTGATTTCAGTATTATCTTATTTGCTATATAATGTAACTTTCTCATAATATAGATAATCCTTCTGATTCGGTTTGAAAGAACTTCGATGTGCAATTTAAATCCCAGATTTTCATCAAAAAGCACGCCAAGATATTTTAAAACCTTAACTCACATAAGTGACTCACATGAACAGCGCGGATTCATGTCGCACGACTTTTCATGAATTTTTATGTTCGAATCAAATTTCGGGCAAGAGGCAGTTGTTTTATGAAAACATACATTGTCTTTTTTGAGTTCAATGTTAGTAGATTATTTCGTAACCACTAGGAAATTTGCAACATACCTCGCTCAGCAATAGAACTAACAGATTTCTATGAGGACCCGCGAAAAATGACCGCGGTTTCATTGTCGTAGCATAAAATATCGGCATTTTCAAGAATTATATCGTGAATATCATTTATATATAAGATGAATAATGTAGGTGCCAAGATGCTACCCTTTGGGACTCCAAAACTGACAGGTTGTAAGCTACTAATAAATTGACCAATTTTTACACACTGTTTTCGATCTGTTAAATAACTTTTAAACCAATCCAAGGCCAATCCTCGAATACCTTTTAATATCTTTTCTAGTTTTTTCAAGAGAATAGAAACGGATACAGTATCGAACGCCTTGGATAGATCCAAAAATATCCCAATGCAGGATTTTTTGCTATCAAGATGCGCAGATAGAATGGTCGTTAGTAGGTTTACAGCGTCTTCCGTGTTTTTACACTTACGAAAACCAAATTGTTTTGGGGAGATATAGCTGTGTTTCTCTAGATAATCAACAAGGCGTTTATTTACTAGTTTCTCAAGTAATTTTGAAAATACATTTAAAAGCGAGATGGGTCTATAATTGTTGACAGAATTTTTAGGTCCCTTTTTATAAATCGGACAAACCGAAGCGGTTTTCCAACTATCTGGGAAAATACCGCGTGAGAGACTGAGGTTAAAAATATACGCAAGTGGAGTCATAATTACGTGTTTAATAAATTTTACAAGCGCGTTACTAACTCCGTCTATGCCCGGTGCCTTATTGTCTTGCAACTCTGATATAAGTTTTCAACATGATCTTTGGGATACATGAAAAACGAATTCATTGGTGGATTTGGAATTTGAACGGACCTCGCCAAATCAGCCTCATTTTGCTTCATACTAGAGAGAATATTTTCTGCCAGCTTTTTACCAGCTGTAGAAAAATAATTATTTGTGAAATCGATTGATTCTTGCACGTTTAGACGATCTGATCTTAACAATTCCTTAGGTTCATTTTTGGAATGTTGAAGATGACAGATATTTTTGATTGACTCCCACATCTTTTCCGGGTTATTTTTATTTTTTGTAAGTATTTTGTTTTCATATAAATTACCTTTCGTAATAAATCTATGAAGAAATTTTGGTAACGGGTGTATATTTTTTTAAGGTTTTTATTTTCCGGATCATTACGAGATTGAAGATGCAAACGATCACGGACGCGCATACAACGAATTAAATCAGGTGTTATCCAAGGTGTTATGATAAACTTAGCTCTACTAATTTTAACTTCTTTGGTGTGCTTGTTTACGCCATCTGTGATGTGTTTTGTAAAGATTTCATTAGCTATATTAACGTGGGGTATATTGCTTAAAATGGACCAATCATATCATCCATTCGCTCGTTTGTATGAGAAATTGATTGGGTAAGATCATTTAATTTTGTTTTCACAGAGCATAGTTCACTGGTAAGGAGGCACAGCTGTTCAGTAAGCTGAGTCATTTCAGACCCTACAGAATCCGGCTTTTTATGTGTGGTAACATTTTCAGAACCACCTCGAACAGGAGTGAGACTGTTATCCCCACCTTTTTTTTTCGCGGCACAGCATTCGGGACATTTCCAAATCTTCCGCTCAGGAGTGAGCAATGTAACATTTATACATACTGAGAAAAAGGTTTTTTCACATGCAGTAGACGTACATTTAGTAGTACCGGCACTGTCTCTAATAGGCTTCAAACAACCTGCACACTTCATTACGCTGCTTTATTTATTAACAGACCCGAAAATATATACAAATTTGTGGTGTTAATAGCGCGTTTGTCAGCACTAGTATGATAAAGATAATATACACGACTTTCACGGTTAAGTGTAGCGCGTAATCGTGAGGATGCTAAGTACTGAGTCGTTTACTTTTTACCCTCGCTCTTAATACTGTTGATATCTGTTGCGAAATTGTGCAAATTTTGCTTTAACTTCAAAATAAATCACAACAAAATCTTAAAGAAATACGTTGTCAGACTATATTATATGTAAATCACAAAATATTTCCAAAAGAAACACTTAAATTATGTATTCGTAAATTGAATTCAGAGCGCACTAACACACAGTTAACTGCCTGACAGAAGCGAAACGAATCGATTTTATTTAACGAATCTATAAAAATCGAAGTTTAATTTAACTTTTTAATTCCCAACGTTTCGGGTGCTTTACAGCACCCGTAGTAACGGGGGGACTGAGATGTTTAACGTCCCGATGTCATAGTTAGCTCGGCTACCTTCAGTTTTTGAATATTAATTTTTGGTTCGATCTGCACAGAATGAACTTATAGTATCTTGAAGTCTTGCAGTGGTGGTCTTGGATTTGGATTTTATTTTATTAATTATAGAATCCCAAGCAGATGGCAGCATCCATCCATCTTCTCTATTGAAATTAGGATGTTTTTTAATTTCAATAGCCTCGCGAATCATCCTTGGTAGAAGTCGGTGTTCTTTTGCAAGGATTTGGGGTCTATCAAATCTAATGTAATGGTTGGGTCAATCTTGAACATGTTCACACACTGTAGACTTCCCGGAACGTCGGTGCTTCAAGTCAGCTATATGTTCTTTCACGCGGGTTTTATAGGTCTTTTTGTTAGCCCTATGTAAAAGAGACCATATTCACAATCCAGCTTGTACACTCCTGCATCTTGTAGAGGGATATGACACTTGACGGATGGTAAAAATTGACTAATCTTCTTCGGCGGCATGAAGTATGTTTTACTGAAAGCTCGCTTAAAGATGTAGCCAACCTTGTCTGTGACTCCTCTGACATTAATTAATACGAATCAGGCGTTACTTTGCAGAAGTCTATTATATTAAATTTGACAAAAAATTACTTTGCGTACTTCCGCTAAATAAAATAAAATGATGTGTCTTACCTAGTTTCACTTAGCGGTTAGCCACCGTAGAGTCGATATCACCTGAGGATGCCTCGTGTAGAGGCGAAACACGTGTCGTATTGACGTCAGTGGTGTGTCTTTTCTAGTGTATTGGTGTTGGGAGTAGTGGTGCTGGGATTAGTGGTGACGGGGATTCATTCATTCATTACAGCCCTTCACAAGTCCACTGCTGAACATAGGCCTACCCCAAAGAATGCCACAAAGCACGGTCCTGAGCCACCTGCATCTATCGACTTCCGGCATGTCTTACCAGGTCGTCACTCCATCTCGTGGGGGGACGCCCTACACTTCGCCTACCGGTACGAGGCTGCCACTCGAGAACCTTTCTTCCCCATCGGTTGTCGGTTCTTCGAGCTATATGGCCGGCCCACTGCCACTTCAGCTTACTAATCCGTTGGTGCCGGGGATAGTGCACGCAATTGAGGGAGGGCGGGAGGTGCTCTTCAAACTAGGTAAGACACACCATTTTATTTTATATAGCGGAAGTACGCAAAGTAATTTTTAGTCAAATTTAACCTCCGACATACGTTATTAGAAATTCAAAATAATTGTTATCTTCCTGATAACAATTCACAATTCAAAATAGTATATTTTCGTATGACAAATTTTAAAGTGTTTTTACTTATTATAAGCCAGTGCTTGAGTACAACCCTATCTGGTGGTAAGTGGTGACGAAGCCTTAGATAATAAATTCGTCTTAGCGTCATAAATGACTTTCACTCTTGCCTTGAAAACGCTTAGATTGTAGCCGGACGGAGAGACAGACGCCGGTAAATTATTCCCTTTGAAATAAAGTAAAGTTTCAGTATATAATATACACTCTTTATGTACATATATATCAATTAATAGTATCAAACTTAATCTTACATATGATGAAGGGGAGAGGCATTCTAGACTGGGAGCATCAGCTTCGAAATCACCAGCCCAACTTCCCAGTGTAGTAATTGTGAACAAACATTTCAAGAAGTGAGAGTAAAGAACTTTCAACTATAAACTTATAGCAGTTAGCGTATTTCAGAAAAGCCTATGCCCAACCGTGGACTTAAGAAGGCTGATATAATAATTTGATAAACATTTGATAAACACCTTCATTTATCACCTATTGATGATAAATGAAGGTACTTTTATTTAAATAGTATCACATTAAATGTGTTAACTCAAAAGGCAAAAATCATAAACGGCGCAATGAATACATTCTTGAATCGTACGATGGAAAATAAACTTCTTATCTATTGAGAACGTGCGAGAAATATTTATTTCATTACTGCTTTTTCAGAAATGTTCGTATAGTTTTTTTTCGTGAAAATATTATTTTCCTACTATCTATTGCATAGACGCTAATTCTTCACAATGACCTAAAGTATTTTTTGTCAAAAACCATTACAATATTGTTTTCACTTTAAAAATGTCAATCAAAGTACTATTTATTATCTAGGATTTTAGATTTTTTTTAAATTACAATTACTTGTCCCGTGTGCCTTTCTAAGGATTCGAACCCGCGGGCCATTATACATATAATAGATTTTGACGAAATAGATATGGTTCATTATTTAGTTACATGTGTTAAGGGTTCGGCTTTAAACATTGTAAAACACAACAAACTTTAAACAAACAACAAACTTTAAACATTAAAAACTGCCTTTAACAGCTGTTAATTATACTCTCGTATGGCAAAATTTATGTAATAAATATCAAGATGATCGAAAACGACCCGGTAGGTTTTATTTCACCGTGCATTTTCATCGCGAAAGAATTAATGCAAGATTTATGAAAACTGGGCATAAGATGGGACGAGCAGCCGCTAACCGACGTAACTAAGTGCTGGCTTAATTACGTTGATGATCTCCCGCGACTGACTGACCGAATGTGAATTGGTCGCATTTTGTGATGCAAGTTCCCGCGGTTATGCTGGTTGTGTGTATGTGATCAGTGGTAACGACTGAGGTCAGACTAAAATACGCTTGGTGACAACATCTATCTAAAGTAGCCCCCGTCAAACCAAGCTTTATCACGAGGTTGGAATTAAAAGCGTCAGCTTTGTTAAGCAAATTAATTAAATATATCCGTGACATATTAACTCGTGTATAAATTATTCGTAGGTATCACTGCGTTAACCGATTCGACTATCGTATTGGCGTTACTTCAGGCTGAAGCTTACAAATTAAAATCGTTTGTTTCACTTCACTTCACTTCCGTGTACACTTCACTTACCTGAGTAACCGTGTTACTCAAGTAAGTGAAGTGCTACCTCAGCACTGTTGGCGGCGTATGGCAATATTGCACTCCCTACTCACGTGACGCCTGCTCCCGCGGAGAGTCTCCGTCGCAGCCCGTGGAGTACACTGAGCAGTGTTCAGTGAGAACATTTATCAACCAAGATGAAAGTAATAAATCCGAAATAAAATCAAATTATACATTAGGCTCCATCAATTTAATCACTAATAAAAATAATTTAATAGAAGAGACTAAGTTAGAGTTCTGTGACCCAATCTTTTCCCATTTCTTTTCTTATTATGAACTGCAATGTACTATTGCTCGAATATTGAGATAATACCAACTCAAATCAGGTCACTCTAAGCACTCAATACCGACGACTAACGAAATGAATACTGCTCAAGATGTTTTAATTAAATTGTACAGAGTACACACCTTGCAAATGAAATAATTAGTTTGTCAAATGGCACAAAGTACGTTCCGCCGTTGAAAAAATTATATATATAGGAACGCCGAAACCTCCGGAAGGAGGGTCGAATAAATTATTCGTATAACGCGAAGCATCCCCATTTATAATCAAAAAATAGTAGATTTACCCTTTTACTTATTGAATATTTACATAAAAAATATTTACACGCAGGCCCACCCACCTTACAAAACTTTATTAATCAAAATGTCTTGATTGATCTCGTCGCATTATTCGGTCAGTTTTGTTTTATATTTCTTTATATACATAGAAGAAACCATCAACATGATTTCGATTGGCGCTCTGAAAAGTAATAAACCGAAAGTTACGCAATTTATACCGAGGCGGAATTATCTGCTGCAATCTGAGGGCCGGTCATACCTAGTGGTAACATTGCGACGTAACATGCGTTGTAATAATCTGTGGAGTTAAAACATTAAGAAGAGGGTTCGAAGCATGAGAAGCAATATGCATCTCTTGTTGTCGTGATGTGAATATCTCTTCAAAAAACTTTGAAAAAGAATAATCTAGAGTGTACAATGTGTACACACATCTTATTGCTAGTGTAGTGTATTGTAGAGTCCTGAGCCACGCGAAACCATCGACTGCCATTGTGTTTCACCTGAAGGATATTCCGAGCACAACATATACCCTTTCCATCGCACGCTGAGTGACTAGTTATAAATAGTTATGATATCTCAGTTATATTGAAATTTTTAAAAATTATAATGCTTCTTTTTTGTTATTTTCTTTTCCTAATGCTGCTACCTATCTCCTGTTTCAGTTTCCCTCCGTTGCATCTTATAATACCCACGGGATGATAGGAGGTAGTGGACAATAAGATTATATGTCACGAAAAGGGAAATTTTAATTTTAAAAAATAAATAAATACAATAATATAAATAAATAACTTTGATTACGTTTATTAACTTACAAGTCTCAACGCGTCGAATTTTTCCATCGTAAACAAAAGCAAACAATACGATTCAACTTAAGCTGAAGCCTGCCTTCAGTTACGCGAAGTATTCAACTCCAAAAGCTGTTAACACAACTATGCGACTAAATTGTCTGTAAGTTTAACTTAATAAAGTAGAAGGTTTATTCTGTTGGAAAAAAATCTGTTGTCATGCTTTTATG